CTCTAATAAATCAATATACATTATTGCTTAAGTTTATATTTGAAGTGAATTAACTTGTCAAATCCTGTTCACATGTGCTCTATTCAACTTACGATCAACAAAATTATTGCTCTGTAATTTTTTTTACTGTGCTCCAATTTACTTCATATTTTGGAAATAGGCTAATCTTTATCTTAATTTCAATGTTTTTAACAATTTGCACTCCGTCACCATCCACAGCATTAATTGGATTATTACTCTTTTAATTCTGATTTTATCAGAACTTGTAATACACTATTTTAAAGGTGATTAAATGAGCTACAAGTTTCTCTATCATTAATTTTACCGTAACTTCTCTTATTGTAAAACGGCGAAGGGTTAAAGGGCTCGAAAGACCTCTGGTTGGACAGCTCCTTAATTAATCATACATCTATCAATATTTGTGTAACGAAAAAATAATAAACAATAATAATTAGTCAGAAAAATACCTCGAATTTTCTTATATATATATACTTTTATACGTATTCTTTCAGAGGTATTATGATGAGAAATTGGTTGTTTTTTTTTAAATGTTTTTTTTTTTCATGAAATCATGAGTTTTTTAAGAATCATTTGTACTAAAGTTTTGGTATTTTCTAGAATCCATCAAGATCTCTTAAACCAAGTTAATTCTAGATTGAATACGATTATTTTTAATTTTGGTGGATATGACACTCAAAGTATTTGATTTAAATGAAAAAAAAAAAACATTGCATGCGTCCTTTATCTGCATGATAGCTCACTCATTTTACACGCAGAAGTACTCATTTTAAAGCTTATTTTGAGCACTATAAAAACCCATTTTCATATCTAGCCTAATAATGTTCCTAAAACACTATAAAATAACGATTTATTAAGATTTTAATTGATATAATTCTATTCATTACATGATTTTCGTTAAAATGTATATTTTTGAAGGTGTTAGCAACAAATGATGAAAAACGCAAAAAAGAAACAAATATTCAGTAGCCAGTAACTTGAAAAGTATTTCCTTTTTTGAAAAACATTATTAAATATTTTTTTCGTATAATTAGTTCTTTTATCGATACCCAACGTTATTTTGAAAAAAGTAAAATTACACCACTGAAAAGAAATGTCATCCACCCGAGAAGTGGTAAAGGAGTCTAAATTGTTTTCACTTCTGAAGAGTAAGATGAACCTAGTTCCAAAATTCCAAACGAATTGGAAAATAGTAAAAATTTCAGACCCAAAGCGCTCCATTGTGTAAATATTCCGTACCCAATGACAAACATATGAATTTTTGACACAATGAAACTTCTAAATAATTTTTTTTGTATTGTGACTTAGTATAGTAAGGCAAAACGACTGCAAATTGAATATGTTTGAGCGCAATCACTTATGGCTCGCTCCTTTGCGCGAATTCGTACGGCGAATCTGTTCGCAAAGTGCGCAAACAAAATTATTGCAAGCAAAAGCAAACCACGCGCACGTCAGACGCATGCGCAGACTGCATCATTTGTCAAATGCATGTTATATTATTTGCATCTTATATTAATTTAATTTTTGGCACATCTCAGCTGCTTTTCGGCATTAATAATGTAGACATTACATTTTCCTTATTCATAATTATGAATTTATTATATTCTAATACTGCCTTAGCCTATAAGTGAATAGAAATGTTTGGCAAATGACAGTCCTCAATTGTTTTTAATGTCAAACTAAGCTTCAAATATTTTCAAGGGCAAACAATGATAAGCGGTTTTTTGTAATTTTTTCTATTTATTTCTACAATTTAACTATATTTCTATGAATCAAAACATTCTAAAAAATTTCCCGAACAAACTTCAGGAAGATTCATGAAAATCCGAATTATAGTTTAGGAGGAAATATAAAACTTACATTGTTACAGAAGAATTTTATATATAAGATATATATATATATATATATATATGATTTAGTTGTTATTTTTGATGTTGAGATATATGAGTAAGTTATTGTGAGGCGATACATCAAAGCATAAAAAGCAAAGATTTATAAATTAATCTTTAATTCCAAACATTTCGACATTTAATTTAATGTCATTGTCAGTGGATACTAACGTTGGTGGGTTACATCTAAAGATGTGACAGGTGAGATGTATAAATGTTAGTGCTAATTTCTAGTGTTGTGTACACATATTTAGATGTAACCTACCAACATTAATATCCACTGATGATGACATTAAATTGAATGTCGAAACGTTTGGAATTAAACATTAATTTGTATCGCCCCACAATAATTTACTCATATATATATATATATATATATATATATATATATATATACTAGCCGACCCGGCAAACGTTGTTTTGCTAAGTAAGGTAATCTCCCTTCCAATTAATTTCATAACAGTGCTGACAGATACAAGATTATACGGTGCTTTTTATACTTACATCAAATCTAATAATATAAATCTATGAATGAAATATACATAAAACAATGATATATACGTAAGACTAGACTTTAAGAGATAGTGTAGATATCATGTAATTTATTATATGGCTAATGTACTAGTTTATAAAGCCAATAAATCATAAATAAAAAAAAAGGTATATTCTGAACAGTTTCTAGAGAATCAAAAATATTAATACTTTAAGTGTATAAGGATGTATTGTTTGAATGCTAGTATATACAATGAGGTATTATAAAAACCATTAGTTTGTCTATATTTTGTCAATACAATCAACTAATCAACTAATCAACTTTCTAAAGAAAACATGGTATAATTCAATCCAAGTATTTTTTGGTCTTTCGACTTATTGATTACGTTTCAAGTTTTTTAGATTATTTTTGGATTCTGGATTTTGTGTACAATTGTAAATAATACTACTTATACAAAAATTTTAAATTTCTGCGAGGATAGATAGAAAATGAATTAAGTATTTTCTCTCTGACCTGCTTTTTGAAAAGTTTCAAGTAACATTCGATAAATTAAAGTAAATTAAATTAAAAGTATTATGGATTTTCAAAGATTACCCTTTATCTCCCGATAGCAAAGTCATAAGAATCAAGGTTATAGCTGGTTATAAATCTTTTTCCCTCTACTTTCAAATATTGTTGTTAAATAATTCTTAACTTTACTGATTTTTTACACATCGGTGGTAGACCTTTTTAACCTCGGACCTTTATTTATTACTATATATTCTCCGGGAAATTATAACTGGGAAAATGTTATTTGACAAAATGTCCCTTTGATCGATGCCAAATTTAGGTTTTGAATTTAAATAACACAAATAAAAAATAATATAACCTAGTAAATATTTTATATGAGTAATGAGTGTATAATTATATAAATGAGATCTTTCAGAGCTCCGCGTTTGAGAAAAATATGTCAAAAAGTGCATTTTCATATTAACATTCAAAAAAAGTTGATATTGTGAGTCTCAAATAACACTTGCGGCCCGTTTAATATCGTTTTTGTATATAAATAAAACTACAAACAAAACTACTTACTATAATTTATTCATAATTAAATAATATTCACGTAAAACATCCTATTAAACTTAATTGAACATCATCTGTCAAAAACGTTTGATATTTGACGTATTAGCCGCTGTCCATTATTTCATTTCAATTACGCTTCTTTAAAAATTTTCAAATTAAAAATGTATAGTTTCTACGCGATTTTGAAATAATATCTCACCTTTCTGACCATCCCTGGATTGGCACGAATTTTTCAAGACTAAGACTGGCCAAATCGGTTTAGCCCTATTCAAGTTTTACCGAATCATTTGATCGAGAGCTCCATTTTTATATATAAGGTATATCTTAATGTTCAAGAGGTTTCTGTACACTATGTCATGCTTGAAAAAAATGGACGTAAGACGTACAATTATTAAGGAAACGTGCTGATGAGTTTTTGGCGGAGGCAGGTCCAGCCGTTTCGAAGATACGGGAGAGAAAGTAAAAAAAAAAATAGTTTTTTTTGCATATATTTATTGCCAATCAAAATAATAAAAGAATTTAAGACAGTATGCTGGTTGTAAATGCATTTAAAGAGTCATGTCTCCAAGTTAAAAAAATGACATTTGGCGATCAAAAATTGTCATCAGACATATGCAAAATTATTCAGACATATCAAATTATTAGATTATTTATAGAGATTTTGAAAATAAATACAAATTTAGTTACATTTGTATGGGTTCCGTATCAACATTTGTCATGTTTAACCTCTAGACCGCAAAGCGGCGCTTTTGCGCTTTGCTATTTCGCAAAAGGGCAACGTAGTGCGATCTCTTTGAAAAAAAAAATTTTTTTTAAAAAAAGTCACTATTTTACGGTACGGGAAGTACCAGCAATTTGCCTTGAGTCACTATGCCATACACCACTAGTTTAAGTATTTTTTCCGCATCTTTGAAACCGTTGGACTACACAAAAATATCTTCAAATTTTGACGCCGACAATACCAATGAAATGTTTGTTTTGATCTAGGCAACACATTGAGACTTATCGTTTGGGATGGATATATCTGAGCTGTTTAGAAAGATTCAAAAGATTTTTTTATATAGTATGCAAACTATTTTAATTTGTGGTTATGATATTATTTATTATATTTCATACGATGGGTCTGTAGGGTAGATTTATTCTATGCAGAAATTTTTTAGGTGTTTGAGAGTCTGTTTCGCGTGTTGTTGGTAACTTGTTTGCCTAGAAGTTTATGAGAGAAGCGGGTGATTTTTTAAAACAGTTATGTTTATATTTTTTTTTACCTATTACATAATGATCTTTGCATATTTTTAGAAATTCTTTACAATATTTGAGGTCTTCAAGAATGTTGCCCCAGTTAGCGTTTTTCATATTAAAAGAATTGATGCAGATTTTTTTTTTCAGAAACTAGATCTGGGGACATATCTTATTTTGGCGTTTTGAATTTTATTGTAAACAATTTTTTAAATTGCAAAATAATATGATAAAATTGATATTGGACTCAGTTCACCTAGTTAATTTTTATCTGTTATATACTTTTTTTTCTATATTTTTAGGGATACGACAATCTAGCTGAGGCTTATATAGTTACACAAGGACCATTGTCCCATACGACATATGACTTTTGGTCTATGGTGTATCAAAATGCTTCTAAAGAAAGTAGTGCTTCTAAAAATGCAAACATACTCGAAGTTAGTCATTTACAAAATCCAAACTATCAGAAAATAGTTATGCTGACCGATTTAGCTGAGAGTAATTACCAGAAATGTTCTCCTTATTTTCCTATGCACAATGGCGAATCAATGGAATTCTTTTTTGATGGAAATAATATCTTGAGTGATAATTCGTGTACTAGTACTAACGTGCTAGATAGGGCTAGTAAATACTCAGTCTATGAAGTATCAAATGCAGGTGTTATTTTTAAACATGGATATAGCCTTAGACGTCTTTTTGTCAAAAGAAGAAGAAATTTGCAGAATGAAAATCGAAATCAAGACTGTTTAGAAGTATTTCATTATTGGTTTGAGGGCTGGCCCGATCATAAGGTAGGACAATTTTATTATCTTTCATTTGAATATCTTAACCTCAATAATTGCAAACATGAATTATATCTATTGTTGAAAATAATATTTAAAGCGGTTGGTAGGTAATTGTTTGAATTAGTTTGTATCTAAAATTATTAATGGAAAAGGCTCAATTGTTCCGAATTTATTCTAATACCTTAAACAGTAATTTATCTATCATGTAAATGGATTGTAGCGACACTAGCTCTCCTACTATTGAGAAATAGTAGTAAAGAGCTACACTAGCCCCTACACTATTAGGGACCCTAATGTGTGGAGGGGGTCAGGCTACCAGGTATATAACGAAAGCAGCTACCTTTCTCGACCTCTTTTTTTCTCTACGGGTCGAGCAGTCAACAATTGAGTAAACTAGCAATCCAATCCACTAGTAAATCTAACCGAAGAATACTCAAAAAGATTTTGTAAATATTATTTTGTAATGAACATTATTTTTCACATATAATTGTGGTATCTTAATTTTTATATGTGGGACCACCCCACATAATTGGTGACTTCGGCGCTAAATTGGACCACATAGCGTGTCGTGAAATGAATGAAGACATGCAGGATACTAAAGGGGAACTGGATGCAATCTCACGCACTCCGCATCTACCGCCATTTTCGTTTGGAAAACCAACATTGTGGTTTACAATAGTCGATTCAATATTTTCTCGATGCCGCATCAACAATGACCTGGCTAAATACGAATATGTAATAGATCACTTAGAATGCAAATATTTACTCCAGATAGAAGACTTAATAGTTTCTCCGCTTGCAAAGAATAAATATATTAAACTAAAGGAGGAATTAACCAAAAGACTTTCAATTTCTGAACGGCATAGGATAAGACAATTACTTTTGCAAGAAGTCCTTCTCAGTTCCTACGTTACCTTCGTTCATTGGTCGGAACAACTACAGTCGACAATTCACTCCTTCGAGAAATCTGGATTCAACGTCTGCCGGTCCAGACTCAACAAATATTGCAAACACAGATCAATGGAGACCTAGAAGAATTTGCATCGCTTGCCGACAAGATATGTGAGATTGCACAACCGCCAGTAATCGCAGCAACTTGTAACAACCAACAGCAAGACATCATACAAAAACTAATTGATAAAAATGATCAACTGACACGGGGTGTCGAAGATCTTACGGAGCAATTAGCCAAATTCACAGCAGAGTCAACCGGTCAGCAAATAGAATCCGTAGTCCGTTTCGACAAGACAGGTCTATCCACTTCCTCAGGCCGAGAAGTGCTTCCAAATCGCGCAACCGAAATACATTCTGTTGATATCACGCCAAATTCGGAAAGAAGGTAAGAAAATGTAAAAGTCAATGTACGTTTAGAGAGGAAAACTCCAACGGCAGGGGTGATTGCGACCTATCCTTGCTCTTCATCAAGCCGTCGCCACTTTATAAGTGATCGCAGAACTAAGATACAGTTTTCGGTCGACACAGGTTTAGACGTTTGCGTGTATCCAGTGCGCTTAACTGCTAAACCGAACCCACAACTAAACTATACATTGTCTGCAGCCGATGGAACCAACATACGCACGTAGGGTTATATTATTTTGCAATTAGATTTTGGACTAAGAAGAAATTTCACTTGGGGATTCATTGTAGCAGACGTAACAATGCCTATTCTCGGAGCAGACTTCTTGACGTACTACAATATCATTATCGATATAAAGAATTCGCGTCTACATGACAACCTGACAACATTGTCTTCTCCGGGATGTATCACATTTTCTCGGATACAAAGTGTCAAGTCTATATTTGGAGATAGTGCATATAATAAATTATTAGCCGATTTTCGATCCATCACCAAACCATCAGGCTTGTGCCAAGAAAGCAAACACAAAACATTTCATTATATCAGAACTACTCCAGTTCTAGACCACGTCGCCTTAAGTCAGAATTACTTCGCGTAGCCAAAGAAGAATATAAGAATATGGTAGAATTAGGCATAGCAAGACCCTCCAATAGTTCTTGGTCCCCACCTCTACATCTGACACAGAAAAAGAATTCGACGTGGCGCCCATGCGCAGATTATCGGCTTCTCAACTCGCGCACAATTCCAGATAAATATCTTGTACGTTATATTGCAGACTACGCGCATAACTTAGCTGGATGTACTGTATTTTCAGTGATCGACTTAGTTAAAGCATTTCAAAAGATAACTTAGTTTATAGCAAGAATTTCAACAGATTCCAGTTCATCCTGATGATATCACAAAAACTACAATATTAACACCCTTTGGGCTGTTTGAATTCCCTTACATGACTTTTGGTTTAAGGAATGCAGCACATACATTTCAGCGATTTATAAATGAGGTTACACAAGGTTTGGATTTTTATTACGCATACCAAGACGATATTCTTTTATCATCTACTTTGACAGAAGAGCATCAAGATCATCTCCGGCAACTATTTCAACGTTTGAAAGACCACGGCGTTGTTATAAACGAAGCGAAATGCGTATTAGGTGCACCCAAAGTTACATTTTTTGGTCATGAAATTTCTAAAGATGTAACTTTGCCACCACAAGACTGTATCAACGATCTCCAAGAATATCTGCAACCGGCAACCTATTCAAAGCTGCTACGCTTCATAGTAATGATTAATTATTATCTAAGGTTTATGGTTCACATAGCTGAATTTCTTGCTCCGCTACACAAGCTGCTCTCAGGATTTACCAAATCTAAATCACAACCAATTTCTTGGACCCCATAGCTTCAACATAACTTCGAGACTTGTAAGAAAGAACTGGCTAAAGCAACATTACTAGCACACTCTGTTCCAAATGCTCAAACAGCATTATTTAGAGATGTATCCAACCATTCTATCGGTGCAGTATTACAGCAGTACATCTATGGCACATGGCAACCTATCGAGAACTTTTGGCTGGTTACGAAGCAGTGCAACATTTCCGAAGCTTATTGGAAGGCAGGCATTTCATTAGGTTTACTGACCACAAACCTTTAATTCACGCCTTTTCCCAACGAAAAGACAAGCTGCCGCCAATACAATTAAACCAATTAAGTTTCTTGTCGCAGTTTAGAACAGATGTTTGCCATGTTAGTGGACAACAAAACATAGTACCCGGCGCTTTCTCAAGAACAGAAGCCATAACATCGCCTTTGGATTACTCCGTTATTGCTAAATCGCAAGACGAAGATGAACATTTTGCTACGCTCATAAAATCAGATACTGCTCTCAACCTGAAACGCATCGTTATTCCGGGTACCAAAGAACCATTATATTGTGACATTTCTCAAAATCGATTACGTCCTTATGTTCCTGCTGAACATAGTCGACACATTTTTGATACTCTATACGGATTTAGCGCTTTGGTGTTCCATCTCAAGTAACAAGCGACCAAGGACGGCAATTCTGTTTATCTGTTATTCAAGGCGTAACCAAACTACTAGAAATCTGCCACACTCCTACTACAGCAAATAATCAGCAATCGAATGGATTGATTGAAAATGCTCATAGGCCACTGAAAACAGCCCTGATGTGCCATGCAGACCCGTCATGGATGGATTCTCTACCGGCTATTTTATTAGGAATTCGAGCCTCTGTTCAATAAGACATTAAAAGTAGCAGCACCAAATTAGTATACGGGAAACTGCTTTGTCTACCTGGCGAATTTTTAATCAGCACACGCAAGGAGATACCAGCAAGCGGCTTCTAGAGAAACCTACATCGACATTTCCAAACGATACATCCAACTCCTACATCTGCACATGGACCAAAAAAAAAACGTTTGTACACAAAGAAATTGGTTTGTAAAAATTTGTATTTCTTAGGGAAGACGCTCTTCGCCGAGTGCTTTCTTGTCCATACAGAGGTCCGTATGAAGTCATAGATCGAAACTCCAAAACATTGAAAATTGAAATTGGAGAACGCAATGTAACGCATTTATCGTGTCAAGCCCGCTTTCATCGCAGAAGCCGACCAAAGTACGAGTCCAACTCCATCCAGCGCTACGGAACATACCTCCGAACAACATAGAACACGATTTGGACAAGTAGTTCGTCCTCGCATCCAATAAAATTAACAAAATTTTTTTGACTCGCCAGGAAGGTATTGCAGTGACACTAACTCTCCTACTATGTAGAAATAGTAGTAAAGAGCTACACTAGCCTCCACACTATTAGGGACCCTAATGTGTGGACGGGGTCAGGCTACCAAGTATATAACGAAAGCAGATACCGTTCTCGACCTCTTTTCTTCTCTACGGGTAGAGCAGTCAACATCTGGGAAAACTAGCAAATCCAACCGTAGAATACCCAAGAAAATTTTGTAAATATTATTTTGTAATAAACATTATTTTTCACATTGTGGTGTCTTAATTTTTATATGTGGGACCACCCCACAGGATCATTCTTTTACAAATCGCACGGATTTTGGGAAGAGTAAAATGTGAAATTTTAGAATTGTATGATTTTTTTACAGATATTTTACATTAAATTTTTTGACACGTATTTCAGGCTGAAACATGGGTAATTTGCTCAATTTCTGTGAAATTAAAATTCTTTTTACAATTTTTTGGCGTCTCTGCTACTTCTGAGGAAATGAGTTCAATTTGTAGTTAATGATTTCCAACTTTATGAAAATGTTTTGTAAAGTATTTGTTTACAAGAATATAAACTATGACATGTCATCCTCGTTTGGAAGTACAGTCTACTTTGATCCCACATCACTCCGCGCTCGGTTAACTCGTTGACGGTATTTGCAGGTGTTCGGCAACGTGTTGTACTAAATTGTGTGTAGACTGAATGTAGAGAAGTTGAAAATATGGTGTTCATGTTTTGGTGCGAATGGTACTACTGATGCTGACTAGCTCGCTGTGACTCAAACTCTTGGCGTACTGAATAGATAGGCAGGTGAAAGACTGGTGGTTAAAGCTAGTTCTTGTACCCGCGTGGCGTGATTGCCATATCAAACTACGTCCCTAGTATATTGGCCGAGACCCGG